TAAAATAACATCAACTATTGATTAGTTATCCACTGGCTTTTGTATTATCACAAATTTCAGGAAGACAAGGCAGCTAGCTCCCAGGCACGGCTGTGAGAGACCAGACCGAAGTCCCATACTTTAATCTCTCTCAGCTGATAAAATTTGCATACCTGACACAGCTCAAGCTGCTCTAAGCTATTTTTCTCTTCTGACTTGAGAAGATGAAAGTGGACGCTTTAGGGAGTATGTTCTCTTTAAAAAAAAACTGTGCTCTAGGCCAGGGCGTGGTGGCTCATAGCCAGTCATCCTAGCACTCTGGGAGGCCAAGGAGGGTGGGTTGCCTGAGCCAGAGAGTGACACTCCCTTCTCTAAAAAAATAGTCAAGAGTTGTGGCAGCTGCCTATAGTTCCAGTTACTTGGGAGGATGAGGCAAAAGAATCCCTTAAGCCCAAGAGTTTGAGGTTGCTGTGAGCTGTGACATTACAGAACTCTACCGAGGGCAACAAAGTGAGACTCTGTCTCAAAAAAAAAGAAAAGAAAAGAAAAGAAATTGAGCTGTGTGTTTATCATTTATGCATTTTTCCGTATGTATGTTATTCCTTAATGAAAAGCTCAAAAAAATAACCAAGAGCCCTGAAGAGGAAGTATAAGGAAATCATATAAATGAGCTGGAAAGGCAGACCTGACTTGGCCTAGCAGAGGCTTTGGCTTCTGGGAGATAACCATTACAGGGTCTTGATGTCATAGATATTGGAACTCTAAAATACACACACACCCTAGTCTAGGAGCCACACACAAGGAAAATAGATAGGAACGCTGCAGTAAAAATGATAGCACATATCCCAGCCAGTATGGCAGGAAGTTGAGCCAAAACTCTTGACATGTTTATTTCATTTAATTCTTTTTTTGTTCTGTATTTTTATTTATTTATTTATTTATTTATTTTTGGACTCTCACATTGTCACCCCTGATAGAGTGCTGTGGTGTCATACCTCACAGCAACTTCAAATAGTTGGGCACAAGTGATTCTCTTCCCTCAGCCTTCTGAGTTAACTGAGACTACCGGCACCTGCCACAACACCTGGGTAGTTTTTAGAAACAGGGTCTTGCTCTGGCTCAGGCTGGTCTAGAACACTTGAGCTCCAACAATCGCACCAACAATCTGCCCACACCAGCCTCCCAGAGTGCTAGGATTACAGGCCTGAGCCACTGGGCCAGGCCCCTATTTCATTTAATTCTTAAAAATAATTCTAGAATGGGCAGCGCCTGTGGCTCAGTGGGTAGGGCACCGGCCCCACATACCCAGGGTGGTGGGTTCAAACGCGGCCCCGGCCAAACTGCAACAAAAAAATAGCTGGGTGTTGTGGCGAGTGCCTGTAGTCCCAGCTACTTGGGAGGCTGAGGCAAGAGAATCGCCTAAGCCCAGGAGTTGGAGGTTGCTGTGAGCTGTGATGCCACAGCACTCTACCAAGGGCGACAAAGACTGTCTCTACAAAAATAATAATAATTCTAGAACAATGCTAGTACATAGTTAAGTACACAGTATGCACTCAATCATAAATATTTGCTCAGTGAAAGGTAGAAGCTATTAACACTTCAAGGGGACAATTTGTCCAATGTTATACAGGATGGCACAGCCTTAACTCAAACCCTGAACAGCCAGATTCCAATGACTGTGCTCTCAACATACTGTAAGAAACTGGATGTTAACATACGACCAAGGGCTTGCTTTGGTGTGCTTATTTATTACAAAAAGTCAAGTTTATCAGCTACTGTCTGAGTGGTAAATCCACTTCCACACCTCTCTTGCATTTATTTCTAAGGGACAATTTATTTATTTCTTTTAAATATAATTAGATAAATATTATTATGGAACTCACAATTCACACAAAATTTTGCATTCAATTTCAGAGCATTCTCAAACCTTCTAAAGTCCACATATTGTCCTCTATTATGGTTAAAAACTTTCGGGGAGAGCCTTGGTAAACCATACAAGCAATGGAAAATTGAGTGGGATTCCCAGCCCACCTAATACAGCAGGGAAAAGGG